CCACATACAGGCAACTGATTTTTGACAAAGTACCTAAATATTAATTGATGTTTACAGCTGTTTCTCTTCATTCATTTTGAGTGGTGCCCCATCAGCAATTGAAGGTCCCACGGGCTCTTCTCCCATGAGCTTTACTCCATTCGTGTTACCACGGTCAACTCTACTTTGAGGCGGCAGCTCTTCCCCAGGCACATTTTGAGTGCCTTCCAACCTGAGGGGCTCATTTTCTGGCACTATATCTGACTGTTTCTCTGCTATTCATAAGGTTTTCAGTGACTAAATATTCGGAAGTAGTTTGTCACTCCTTCTTCCTACTCTGTTTTCGCCTTGGAAGCTTATCTGAAACCTGTCCACCATGGGTGATTCTGCTTGGTATTTAAAATACCGGTGGCATGGCTTTCAGAATCACAGCAACTCACAAGCCACCACAGCACGACAAATTGACAAAAGAGTGGTGAAATCTAGATATAGAAGTACTTAAAGTAAAACAAACCTATACAACTGTAAACAGGGAACCAGAGATATCAGTGTATAATGAAGTCAACTACAAAGCAAAAAGAGGGAATAGTGTAGATACTGAACTTCCAAATGGCAGGGAAGTCAGACAGATTTTAAGACAAAATAGCCTGTTTTTAAGAGGGAAAAAAAAAATGTATAGGGTAACATCAAAGAAAAAGAATATACCTGCACATCAAAATTTTAAAAAGAGGAAAACCAGAAAGATTTAGTAAACATTAACAAAACAAAAATGAAAAGGAAATCTACAAACAAAATGAACTTAGCATAGAAAATTATGTAGAACATAGAATCCAGCAACACCACACACACACAAAAAAAACCACAGTAAAATGACAGCAATCAATTCATAACTATTGATAATTACACTGAATGTAAATGGATTTAAATGTACCTGTCAAGAGACATAGCAGAATGGATAAGAAAACAGGATCCTTCAATATGCTGTCTACAAGAGGCATATTAAAAATACGGAGACAGCTTAAATATCCATCAAGTGAAGAATGGTTAAGTATCTTTGATACATATACACAATGGAATACTGCAAAAGATTGAAGAATAATGATGAATCTGTTAAACACCTCACAACATGACTGCACCTAAAGGACATTATGCTGAGTGAAATTAGTCAGTCACAGAAGGACAAATATTGTATGCAACCAATGTTGTAAAAAAATTTTTTTAATGTTTTCTTGATAAAAGAAACACTAGATGGTAATGAGGGTGGGGAATTATTCATGGGCTAGAGGATAGACACATGTTAACATAGGTGACAGGGCAGGCAGTATACAACAAGAGGGAGGGTAGCAGAGGAAAGATGAAGGTATGGGAGACACAGGGAGGAATCCAATAGTTAAAGTAAATGGAAGGAAATACTGTTAACTGTTGATACATGGATGGGATTGCAGTCATGTACTAAAGCAAAGTATATGATTTGTTCAATGTAAAATTGATGATCTGCTCTGTAAACCTTAATTCACAATAAAAAGTTAAAACAAACAAAACAAAACGGAATATAACTGAAAACAGTAAGTGGGGTATAGGAGTTAGGCAAAGGGCAATCTGGACCTTCCCCCACACCTCACCTTAACATTTTCCTTGAACTGAGTTTCTATGTATTGTTTGCTTTTTAACCTGTGTGGTAATGAATGATCCAGAAGAGTTCATTACCTCTACCTCTTTGTTCAAAATGGGCACCAATAAACAATATTCTATGAGCCCAGTATGGAAGACAGAAATTTGTTTCAGTTTAGAGGAGCGAGTGGTGTGGTGTTGGTGGTGTGGTAGATCTCTGTGGTGAGGCTAAGATGGGCAGAAGCTCATTGGGGACAGAACATGGTTTGGGAACTGACTTGGCCAGGGGAAATTGCTGTCTCTCTGGGTGACACTGTCAGGGAGAAGGAAACCAGATCTAGAAGAGGACACACAGAGGAATTGTCAACATTGTTGTTGTTGTTGTTGTTAAATGCCGTTGAGTAGGTTCCAACTCATAGCGACCCAGTATAGGGTTTCCAAGGAGCGACTGGTGTGTTTTCATCATAAGACAGTTTAAATAAAGTCATCTTAAGTGCAACTCTTGGTCTCTCCTTGTCTGGAGGAAAGGAGAGATATGAAAATCAAAGACACATGGGAATAGTTAGTCCAGTGGACTAGTAGACCACATGAACATAGGTCTCCATGACCCTGAGACTCGAAAGAACTAGAGGTGCCCAGCTACTACTCTGAAAAGGGATCACATGAGAAGGTCTTAGAGTGGGAGAAAAATGTGGAACAAAACTCAAAATCATAAGAAATACCAAGCTTACTGATTGAATAGAGACTATTGAACCTTGAGACTTAATGTCCCTTAGTCACCAGGTCTGAAATTTAATTCACCCTTGTGGCCTAATATCCAGTCAAATAATAGATTGAACTAAAGGGAAACAGTAACACATGAGATGCATATTCACCTTATCAGCCATTTGGAGTCCTGGTGTGGCGCTGTGGACTAATGTGTCAGACTACAAAGTCGTTTGAGCTGCAAGCAAGGTCAGTGGTTTCAGCTCACCAGCTGTTCCTTGGAAACCCTACACAGGGTCGCTATGTGTTGGAATCTACTAGATGGCACTTCACAACAACAATCAACCATTTGAGATCAAAAGGGCAGCAGTTGCCCAAATTCAGAAGAGTTAGAAAAGGAGAAATGGAAGCAAGAAATACAAGGAAGAAATTGGTAATTGATGTTAGTTTGAGGGGATTGCAATTAATGAGATGGAAGAAAATGTGTACTGATTTGGAATGCAAAACTGTTGACCTGCTCTGCAACCCTTCGCCCAATTCATAATAATTTTTTAAAAAAGGCAGTTTAAGTAATAAGAGTGTTAAAACAGTCTCAAGTGTGAATGAATGTCACTTACAAAACACAGTTCTTATAGAAATCAATATTTGTAAGTGAGATAAGAAAGTGGGAAATAAGTATTTATTTATCCAAGATCAAAGATAAGGAGATGTAGAGTGGGAGTGGGGCTTCAGCTCACTTCTGGGAGGTAATATTCACTGGTCATTGTTTCTACACTGACTTCCAGTTGGTTCAGGGTAGGAGTTCATCTGCTGTGGAAGAGTGAATTTGGCAGTCTGTGCTGCATGGCCCCAGCCTGTGTCAACATTGACTTGCTGCCTTTTTGTTAATAGGCGTGGTGTCTGTCTGTTTTGAGGGGGACAGTGATGGTTACATCAACCTGGTGGCGTATCCATATGTGGAAAGTGAGGCTGTGGAGCAGGATGATACACCAGAGCGGGAACAACCTCGGCGCAAACACTCCCGCCGAAGCCTGCACCGGTCAGGCAGTGGCAGTGACCACAAGGAGGAGAAAGCCAGCCTGCCCCTTGAGTCCTCTGAGAGGTAAGCAGGTAGTAAACAGGATTGCATGTTTGTCAGATCCTGTTGGTGCAAGCACTTAGGGCATCTCTAGAATCCTGACACATCATGGGAAGCACAGATCAAGATTGAAGGTCGATGGCTGTCATTCTTGAGCTACCTCTACAAGTGTTGTTAGATTTGAGTGCTACATTGCCCTAGTGATGCCTCACTCTGGATATGCACTGTAGCCGCTCAAGAAAAAACAATGCCTTCTCAGCCCTTTGTAAGCACAGATACCCTTTGCTGGTGACAAGAGAGTCTCCAGAATCAATTCAACATGCATCAGTTCACAGTGCTGCTCCAGCTTTTTGCTGACCACAGGGAAGAACCTCAGGACCATGAGAGGCTATCCACACAGGTGTCCTTAACCATTTTAGATATCCGACCCCTCTGAGAATCTGATATCCACCATGAACCCTTTCCCTACATATAAAATTTAGTTTATTGCATTGGAAATTGATTTTTTTATGTAAATTAAAAACAAATAGTCTTTATAGAAAACATGCTTGATATTTCATGCAAGAATTAATGTGAACCTGCCACTAAGATGGCTGTAATCAAAAGGTTGAACAGTAATAACAAGAATAGACAAAGATGTGGAGAAACTGGAACCCTTCTACCTTGCTGGTAGAAATGTAAAGTAATGTAGCAGCCTTGGGAAGCAGTTAAGCAGGCAATTCCTTAAAAAGTTAAATTTCATCCTAAAATTTTGTTATTTTAATTTCATCAAAAATGCCCATGTAAATTAAAAACACACGTTCATATAAAAACCTTTACATAAATGTTCATAACATTATTCATAATGGTCAAAATGTAGAAAACAACTGGTGAATAAATAAGTAAGATGTGGTCTATCCACACAGTGGAATATTACTTAGCCATGAAAAGGAATGACGGTACTGATACATGAAAATACTGTATTCAGTGAAAGTAGCGAGTCACAAAAGAACATACATGATTCTGTTTATATGAAATGTCCAGAATAGGCAAATCTTTGGAGATACAAAGGAGTTAGTGGTGATCAGGGACTGAGGGAGAAAGAAATGGTAAGCAATTTCTTTTTGAGGTGATAAAAATGTTCTGAAACTAGATAGTGGTGATATTTCACAATCTCATGAGTATACTAAAAACCACTGGATTGTTAAAAACTAAACTAAAACACCATGAACTTTGTTAACTAAATTGAAATTAAAATTGTGTGATTAATTTATGTGAATAATAATGATTGTGAAAGGGAAAATAGGAGTTTACCCACAAATATATGAAGAATTGACAGGATATTTGCAATTGGGTTTTTACCTTTGCGGCAAACATATCTATGAATGCGGTGGAGCATACAAGAGTCAAAATTATGAAAACTTCTCAGTCATCACGAAACACCTTGAGGGAATGATTTGCTGTGCCTGGGGACTCAGGACCATAGTCCCAGGGGACACCATGATCAACTGGTATAACAGTCCACAAAAATTATATTCTTCATCCTACTTTGGTAAGTAGCAACTTAAAAGTTCATAAGTTGCCATCTAAGTTTCAACTATTGGTCTTTCCCTGTCCGGAGGAAAGAAGAGTGATGAACATTGAAGATGCTTGGAAACAGTTAGTGTAATGGACTAATGGCATGTGAACATCGGTCTCCACAACTCTGAGACCAGAAGAGCTAGATGGTGTCTAGCTACCACTGCCAACTGGGATCATATTAGAAGATCCTGGATAGAGAGTGCGGGGGCGGGGAATATAGAGCAAAACTCAATTATACAAAAGACCAGGCTTATTGGTCAGATAGAGACTGGTGGAACTCCAAGACTATGGCCTTTAGTTACCCTTCAGGTATGGAACTAAACTCACTTCTGTGGCTCAATTTTTACCCATATAATAGATTGGTATATGTTTTTGTTATTAAGTGCCATCAAGTCAGTCTGACTCATAGCGACCCTATTATATAGGGTTTCCTAGGATTGACTGGTGAGTTTGAACCACTGACCTTTCGGTTCAAATGACCTTGTGGTCCAATGTTTTACCTACCATGTCACACCAGGACTACACCGTGGAGTCGGTTCCAATTCATAGCAACCGGCATAGGGGTTATGAAGCTATAAGTCTTTATGGAACAGAAAGCCTCATCTTTTTCCCACGGGACAGCTGGTAGTTTTGAACTGCTGACCGTGAGATTAGTAGGTCAACTTGTAACCATAACGCTACCAGAGTTCCTTACAGATAGGCATATAGGGAGTACAAAATATTAGTGAGGTACAAATGGTCAACCATTTGAGATAAAAAAGCATTTACCTAAGGATAGAATTCATAAGGGTGGGAAAAGAAGGAGGAATGGAAACAAACACAGGGAGGAAGTGTCTGATTTATTGAATATAAAAGTGATCTCTGTAAACCTCCATTCAGTTCATAATAAAAAGTTAATAAAGATTAATTTCATCAAATGAATTTCAGTGCTTTTAAAGAACTGTCTATATGGGACCAAATTCATAACACCTAAGGTGCTCTGGTAAGGAGCTCTGGTAGC